TTAGATCGTTTGCTGATTATTATCGAAATATACATCCAAGCTACTCCCGTAAATTTTTATCGATTTCACCCACGTCATTGAATGACTGATGTGAATGTGAATGGATTTTGAATACACGTATGCTATGCACTGATTTGTTTGAACAGATAATCAGGGAAATCAAATGAAGAGGAGAGAGCGAAGCGGGTTAGGGAAGGCGAGTTATCTGACCCAATTTAACCAAGCGTTATTCAATATTTATAGTCAGGCGGAAAATAAGTTGCAGACACACATACGATCATATAAGAATAGTCAGGTTTAATAAGCCGATAAGTGACCAAGTCAAAATATTGTTTGAAAAGAATGAATAGATCGATCTGTCTAGAAGCTAGGATAGCCTGTGTAGTCTTGACATAGTATCAACCACTACAAAGTTCCTCGTAGGAAATGCGGATAATTACGAAATAAGTGTATGTTAACTATCCCCATATGTGCATGTTTCAGGCAGTAGAGTCTAGGTAACTGGCAGCTATCACATTACCAGGTAGGAAATTGCTCGATAGAAAAATAGCGAGGAATATGAGAGCTGAGACAAGATGATTACTTAAAAAATTAAAACTAATTAATTGGCAAAACAGTATGTAGAGACCGAACTGTGAAAATAAAAAGGGAATGGAAATTATAATAAGCGAGATAGGCATGTGATAGTGATAGGATTAGATAGGTCATAAGACATATCAGGTTCAACTAGTCCAAGTGAGATATGTTAGTCCATAAGTAAGTGTTTGTCAAGCCTGCTCTTGAAGGGGTGGCGGTAAATAAATTCTCAAAATAAACAGTTTTTTGAGACTTCGGCAGTGGTGCATACGACATTAGTTTTGCTGAACACACCTAGGTGAAGGCGCTTGGTCATACATCCCTTGCAACTATTACCCAGCTTAGACAAAACGCTTCTCAGCATGTTGATGGCTTTCCAAATACACCTCCGAACTCATTCATTTCTGACTTCTTATTTAACTGGGTTGGGGTCCCTCGATCATAAAAGTGTTAAGTGTAAAAGCATTGTCAAACAACGAATACCTGTGACATCATCGAAAGTATCCACTGTGGAGACTGTTGTCAGTCCGAATGAAAGAGAATTCGACTAAGAATAAGAAAGCGCTACCATGCTTGTGTTTTCAAGTTGTCTCATGGAACTCAGTGGTGAGGTTCTGGTAGGGCATTTTTATGAGTGAGAATTGAAGTGCTTAGTATGCTATATGCGATTATCAAACAACATGTTGCTTTCCCATGCCAAAGTCACAATAATCCCGCACTGGAATCTATCTTAGTAGGATTTATTTCTCAGACCTATTTGTCTAGGAGATCTGAGACTGTTTTGGAGGGGCAAGGCTAGTCAACCTCATAAACTTCGAAGTGATGCTGTGAGTACGTTTTAAAGTGTCGAAAACAATTCTAGAGTGATGAAATCAAGTGGTATTCCCATAAAGTATCTGGACTTATTCAATCAACATTGGTAAGCCCAACTAAAGAAACACAACCTATTATTGTTAATCCTTATTTTCACTTTAATTTTCTTGATCTTACTTAATTACTTACTTACGCCCGTTACGCTGTGTGAAGGAGCATAGGCCGCTCACCAGCATTCTCCATCCAACCCTGTCCTGGGCAATCCTTTCCAGTTCCTTCCAGTTGTTATTCATCCTTTTCATATCTGCTTCTAGTTCCCGACGTAATGTGTTCTTTGACCTTCCTCTTTTTCGCTTCCCTTCAGGATTCCAAATTAGGGCTTGCCTCGTGATGCAGTTTGATGATTTGCGTAATGTATGCCTTATCCATTTCCAACGTCTTTTGCTAATTTCCTCTTCAGCTGGAAGCTGGTCTGTTCTTTCCCACAGAAGGCTGTTGCTGATGGTATCCGGCCAATGGATGTTGAGTATGTTGCGCAGACAATCATTAATAAATACTTTTATGTTCTTGATGGCGGTTGTTGTAGTTCTCCAAGTTTCAGCTCCATACAGTAGAACTGCCTTGACGTTTGTATTGAAAATCCTCACTTTGATATTGGTTGAACGTTGTTTTGAGTTCAATATGTTCTTCAATTGTAGGAATGCTGTCCTTGATTTGCTAATCCCCGCCTCTACGTCTGCATCTGAACCCCGTTGTTCATCGATGGTGCTGCTGACCAGGTATGTGGCGGATTCTACATCTTCAAGAGTTTCGCCATCAAGAGTGATTGGATTGCTGTTCTCTGCTCTGAATTTGAGGACCTTGGTTTTCCCCTTGTGTATGCTGAGACCTACTGATGCAGAGACTGTTGCTACACTGGTTGTCTTTATCTGCATTTGTTCGTGTGTATGCGACAGGAGGGCTAGGTCATCTGAGACGTCCAAATCGCCTAATTGGTTCTGAGCTGTCCATTGTATTCCGTGTTTAACCTCAGATGTCAAGGTCTTCATAATCCAGTCGACCACCAGAAGAGAAAGGAAGGGAGAGAGTAAACAGCCTAGTCTGACTCCGGTCCTTACTTGGAATGCATCTGTCATCTGTCCTCCATGCATGACCTTCCATTGTAGTCCGTCGTATGAGTTCGGATAATGTTGACAATCTTCTCAGGAACTCCATAGTGTCAAGGATGTTTCCATAACGTTCTTCTATCTTCACTGTCAAATGTCTTCTCATACTCAATGAAGTTGATGTATAGTGACGAGTTCCACTCAATTGATTGTTCGGCGATGATCCGTAGTGTCGCGATTTAGTTTGTGCACGACTGATCCTTACGGAATCCAGTGTCTGGTTTCGCTAATGCCTCTCGAACGCTGTCTGCTACTTCGTCTGGGAGAAGTGTGCTTGCGAGGCCGAATTTATCTTTTTGCAGGAGAATGCGGTTAGCGAGAAAATAATTTTCAAGTCTTATAAACCAAAGTTTTGGGTCTGTGGCTTTAAAAGAAGGGGCAGGAAGGTTGAGAGACGTCACGGACGAGGTTTGCTGTACGCTTGACACTGTGTTTTCATAAGACATGTTCATAAAAAATTAAGTAGCATACGAAAATAATGTAACTGCCAGAAGGAAAAGTAGACGGACTAAGACAATGATTATAAAAAAAATGGTACAATTTATAAAATGGAACAGACTCAATAAATTGCACCAATATATCAATTGTTTATAAATAATCGTTATTTATTATGATTATAATCGTCACGTTTAATAATGTTTGCGAAATAATGTAAGTGGAATTAAAATAGTAATATAAATCCACTGTTGTAATTATAGTTCATATGATAATCCAAATCGAGATGCAAAGAGTCGGATTTTTGGGATTTGATTATTTCGCCAAAATTCGCTTCTCGCTCTCACGTCGGGATTACCAATTCTGTAGTGGCTGTGCTTCGATAACTAATCACCCTCGAGCCGTTATCGTATAATCTTCAACGATGTTTGAAATCAGAAGGCAAAGAGAAGCAGCTACTACAGTTTATTTAGCAGATAATTCGGACCAGACAGCAGAGGCGGAATGGATGGGCAAGCGAATTTCGATTGTAGCAGTAGCAGTAGCGAGTAGTTGTAGTGGATGGGTGCAAATATATATATATATATATATATATATATATATATATATATGGGAAAATGGATGAGTCAGCGAATAGATTAAGCAGTTAATAATGAAGCTGGCAGAATGAATACATGCGTAGGCGCTATACAATGTTCAAGTATATGTATTTCATACAAGCACAATAATAATACAAATTGTTATAGCATGGATGACTTTGTCCACTGTCAACAAAAGACTTTGAGTGAACTAAACTCAATTGCACGTGAGTCGCTATATGATATTAGTCAAGTTTTGGGTGAAGTTAACTACGGTGTTATTGTTCCTCTATGTCGAATTCGACTGTTGTTGGCTGGAATGTTGAGGGTAAAAAACCAAACTGCCTACAGTATTATTTTGAGCAACACGGAAGAATTTGAGGATATTAATCCCAAAATAATACGCCGGTGGAAAATTCCTGGAATCTTATGACTTCTGCCTCAAGTAAATTTGTAGACTTTGAGTAGTATGGATATTATAAGCTTGCCTTTACCGTTCAATGAATGGCCTCAATCTATAAGGTGACTTTAGTAAACGGCGCAACTTACAGAACCTTATCACGAAGCCACATAATCCCAAAACACCCTGCCCTGGGTACGTTCAAACTCCCAGTGGAATTTTTCGCTTCTATAACACACTAGGAAGACAGGTAGAGTGTTATCATGCAAAAGACCTATTCAGATATGAAGGGAATTGAATGGTAACAAGTACAAAGGGAGATCTACAGATTTATAATCTAGTTCCATAAAATTCAATAATCCACCCGGGCTCATTGTGACTGATATTGACTATTTATTATTGGTCGTTTAGCATCCGGGTATCAATCTCTGAGTGTAATAACAGATTTAGCCAGACAAACAACATGGCTGGGAGCCATAGTACCACAAGGTTTAGCTTGAGATGGAGACAAAATGAACAAAACTGTTCCTTATCCAAGTATTCCAGGAGTGTTTTCATCGAAAATGATAAAAATCATTCAAAGGTTCAGGAACTTATCGCAAATGAAGTTGTTTCGAGATTATTCAACCTTAAGTCGTACCAATTTACAGGTCCTGACGAATTTTGTCCTCGGTTCATATGGACCATAGCTGGGCATCAGCTAGGTGAGTCCATTAAAACTAATGTGGTCAGCATCCAATGTCGCAGACGTACAGAGCTATTTATTTTGGGGATTTACTTACCGCTACAACCCAATTCTTGCGCGATAAATAATCCAGTAGACACAAATTCTACATGTCACTGTAAAGCCTTATGTTATACCATTTGGGTGTCTTAGAACAGAACTAGAAAGTTTAGTAATCTGTTGGTGGAATAAAAACCTGGATAAGGACTTTTCTCGTGATTGAGGGCAAAGTGTGATTGGAAATTTATCTTCATGGAATTCTGTGAAGAGTGCACATCTACAATGATATTAGATATCGCAGATCAAAGCAACAGACCGAGGCGGCATTTTCAGTTTTCCAGTTTCGGGTGGTTTTAAATCTAACGTTGTATGTATCGCAAACCGAAATAATGGTCATGTTTACGTTCATGCAGTATTAACAGATGGAATTAAATTCCGCGTTTTTGAGTCGTCTAAGTGTGTCACTGTCAGTAATTACGATTATGTTTTAGTTTATTTAGTCACTGAATTGTAAATGTTTTGAGATAATCCAAACAACCAATAAAGGTTAAATAAAGGCGAACAATGGGGAAACGTGCTAAAATGTCTGCTTTTTCGCCTATCCGGGGGGAAATAATACGGATTTTTCCCTTATTGTCGCTCTGTCTCAAATGTCGCCGAATTATCTACTTTTCGCCTAAATGTAGGACTGAGGTCCTATTATAGAATTACTTGGAAGCATGTCCACTATGTTGTGACTTTTCTTCCGTTAGAACTGACTGCCGTACACTCGACACTGACATAATGGAGTAGTACCTTCAGATTTTTGTAGTAAGGACAGAAGACCTACGACTTGTGTTATTCCTTTTCTAGTATGCTTCTATAAGTGTCCAGTCTTTTCTTGAACGCGTCAATTGAAGGAGCAGACACCACTGCCTAGGGTAACAGATCCCAAGCAATGATGACGGTGTAAAAACCTGTATGCCATGGGTATCTTGTTTGGTCTTGGCTTTTCTATTCGCCTGCTATGTCCTCTGAGATGTCTCGATCTAGTGGGAAGGAAAAGAGAAAATAAGTTAGGTCCAAGATCATTTCTCGGTATTCTGTACATCAAAATTAGATCTCCCCCTAGTCTGCGATAGGACAAACTAAAGAGGTCAAGCTTTTCGAGCCGATCTTTGTATGGTAAACCTTGGAGTTCTGTAATTGCACGGGTAGCTGCCCTCTGTACTTTTCCCAGGATATTAAAGTCACCTTTTAAACAGGGGCTTGCAGCCTGAACGCAGTTCTCAAGCTTAGTCCTCACTAAGGTTTTGTATACTGTCGTAGAAAACTTTACATATTTCATATAAGCCAGCAAAAGCGACAAGTAACAAAATGCGCCTTACATCACGGATTACGACAGTGAAAACAAAAATTCTCGCTCCATCTTGCTTGGTTCTCTGGTACAAGGTTTACAGTTGTAAGAGTTGAGTTTATTACCACTCATTTTCTCATTGTTTTTCACATGATGATGTTTGTTTGGGATATAGATTTGGATCAGGTTCCAAATTATGTTTATATTTCTGAATTGTTAAGATGTGTTACGTTTAGTTTCTTTGTTGTATTAATTGGAAGACCTGTCTGGTTTCCGACCATGATTTGTCATCTTAAACTACTTGGTATCATTAGCATGGGTATTTCCGACATTTTAAGATGTTGGTATTTTTCACTTAAAATGTTCGTACGGTTCATATTAATTATTGTGACATAGTGTTTTCACATTAAATCGTAAGTCAAGACGGTCTCTTGAAATATATTTGTATCCTTTCTGTTTCTAATGTGAGCGTATGCGGTATAATATTTTGCCCACATACAAAGCACGCTCGAAAAGCTGCAAAAACTTAAATACTACAAAGTTTTACACCTGTAAATGCGCTTTGAAACTACAGCCATATATAATGTGCTTGTCAGGGGCCCCAAAATGCCCTGGTACAGCCGAGAGTGGGGAGAGTTAGCTCTCCTTCGCGAAATGCTTTCAAGTCAGTCAGTCAGTCAGTAACAACGCAGAACTTCGTACGTACGTACATCAGTTCGAGTTGCCATACCATGCTTATACAGCCACTGTTAGGGAAATCCTACTCACTGCCTCCTCGCGGCGTTGTTTACGAAATCAAGAGGACTGAAAGCGAATGTCCGGCGCTTTAGCCGGGTTAGTGGATATGGAGAGTTCACCTAGGGGAGTGGAAAAACCTTGATTCCAAACCAATGGTACACATGGGCTCTAGTTTCCTGAGGGAACAAATGGGGTGTGAACCAATTATTGGTCACCGGCTACCATCGGACTGCATCTTATGACGTTGCTTCACTGCGTTGTGGACCAGATCTTTAGGTCGAGGGCTCCGGGTGTGACCCCCTGAGAAAATCATCTGCTTCGGTCTGGGCACCCGGGCAGTATTTCGGTCCACTCGCAACCCAAGTGACTTGTGTGGTGCATATGTATTCGGTGCCTCCTTGTACCAATATTTGTGTTCAAATAAAATACAGCAGGGTGCTGACTATAAAACCGTAGGGTATTTTTATCCCTATGGGCTCAATAGACTTTTTTTATAAGAAGGATATACGTATTCAGGTAAGTTACGTAGTTGAATGCAGATTTGGATCGACAATTTATATAGAGAAAGGTGTATTAATAACCTTAATCGTGACTTCTCGTTGATAATACAGTAACTATATTTGTGCATCTTTCCGTTCTCTTCGACTGCTGTGAATCGCCCCATAAATTATACCCGTTGCCTCGTGCTTACCAAGAGACTATCCAGTTAGTATATTCAGTCAGTTTAAAGTTACTTATCAAGTAGTGAAAAGTTTATTTCAGCAAATAATTCCTTTATGGTGGGCCTGTTTTTTAAGGTGCGTAATCACAAATGATCCAGTTTTAACAAAGTTGTATATATGGTTATAATGCTTCTAATAAACTTGAGAGCTAGTTCTGTGGAGTGGTGGTTTTACTATTCGTCCGTTTAAGGCTATAACATCAGATTGAACTTTTTTCCAGTAATTTATATATGAGCTATGCTTACTCTTCCAGCTCTTATAAAGTTTCACTAGATTGGCTAAGTTAGGATTAATAAACCAATCGGATCCTAACATTTCGCTTCTAAAAGTGTTTCAAGTTGGGAATTACAAATTATTGGTCTTTACAAGTGCCAGTTAGACTAGTGGAAATTGTAGTTATTCGTTTAAGATTATTTCCTCATTGATTACTCCAGTTAGTAGGAAATAAGATAAAATCACTTTCGACCAATAAAAAAGAGATCAGTTTTTAGTCTCTAAAGGTCGTAAGATCCAGTTATCACCTTTTATTAAGCCTCGAAACACCAACACCCCTTATCTTTATCTTTAATTCAAAAACAACCTTTGGACTGGGTTGATATGTTTTATGGTTGTATCGGTTTCTGAGAACTGTCTAGGTGTGCTAATAGTGACATTTTGAGAAGTGTGACCTGTCATCAAAGTTTTTCCCTTCGGGTGGTGTTAGCGAGTAGTGTCCATTAAAGTACCCATATCCAGCCTTGTCCTGGATACAGGTAAAAATTATAGTCATCTTCGCCTTTACAATTTTCCTGTAGTTTCTTTGTACTGAAAGTGCGAATTTTTATCTACATTTTTTCAGAAGTTTCTGGAATGTCTAGTCGGTTATTGACAGGTGGAGAATGCCCCCAGGGTGTTTTGGATGTTGTTGAAGGTGCTATTGGTTATCTTGCCTTATCAGTTGGATATACATCTATTGAGTACGCAGCGTTGAGAGTACTTTCAAATCTTTTCTTTTCTTGTAAGTGTAGTTTCTAACAGTTGGTGAAAATTTCTAACCAATAACTTTTTGAATTTGCCACTCATATTTATTTCTCTAGATGACATGTTCCATGTATGTTAGGTTTCAAATCAATGTAACTTCGTCTAATAACTGACGTAGATTTAATGTCTGGATTCATACTTACTTACTTATGCCTGTTGCCCTTCGTGGTGGAGCATAGGCCGACCATCAGCATTCTCTATCCAACTCTGTCCTGGGCAATCCTTTCTAATTGACATTCATCCTTTTAATATCTGTTTCCAATTTTTGACGCAATGTGTACTTTGGTCTTCATCTTTTCCAAGTTAGTGCTTGCCTCATGATACAGTTTGGTGTTTTCTGAAATGTATGTTCTATCCACTCCCCAATTTTCTCTTGAGACGGAAGCTGGTTTGTTCTCTCCCATAGTAGGCTGATGCTGATGGTTTCCGGCCAACGGACATTGAGTATCTAGCGTAGACAACTGTTTATAAATACTTGTCCTTTTTGATTATGATTGTGGTGGTTCTCCACGTTTCAGCTCCGTACAGTAGGACTGTTTTGATGTTCGTATTGATGATTGTGACTTTGATGTTGGTTGACAGTTGTTTTGAGTTCCATATGTTGTTCAACTATAGGAATGCTGCCCATACTTTGCCAATCTCTGCCTTTACTTCTGCATCAAAACCTCCTCCGTATTACATTGATCTGCTCACGTACACCATAGTGTCGAAAAAGTTCTCGTGAAGTTTTCTTATCCACACTGTCGAATGCTTTCTCATAATCAACGAAGTTGATGTACAGGAAAAAATTCCGTTCAATCGATTGCTCAACGATGCTCCGTAGTGTCGCGATTTAGTTTGTGCACGACTGATCCTTACGGAATCCGGTCTGTTAATCTCAAAATTAGAAATCTACTGAATTGTTCATCCGGTTCAGCAACACTTTAAAACTTTCCTGATACCGATAATAGTGTGATGCCTATGTAGTTCTCACACTTGCTCAGATCTTTCTTTGATATCTTGATGAGGTGTTCTTCTTTCCAGTCCGTCGGCACTTGTTCCTCCGAAATCCTCCTGAATGGAATGTAGAGCATGTGTGGAGTTACCTGTATATCTGACTTCAGAGCTTTAGCTGGTATATTGTCAGGTCCTACTACTTTCTTGCTCTTGATTTGTCTGATGGCCGTCCTGATTTCTTCCGTCGTTTGTGGAGTGACGTCTGTAAGAAGGTCTGTAGGTGCTGCTTCGATATCCGATGCGTGGAGATTGTTTATCCAAGAATTCCTTGAAGTATTATACCCATTTGTTCCTCTGTTCTTTAATCTCAGTGATTGTCCTGCCTTCTTCGTCCTTGACCGGTCTCTTTGGCTTACTGCATTTCTCCGATAGTTTCTTCGTTTTATCATAGATTTGTCTCATATTTCGTTCTCTTGAAGATTTTTTCCACTGTTGTTGCTAGGTTCTCCACATATTTCTGCTTATCAGCGCTGATGCTCTTCAATTGCTCGTTTGCTGTTGTGTATTCAGCTTCTATTTTGACTTTCTCTGTTTTTGCTCGACTATTGTTAATTGCTGCCTTCTTGTTCTCCCTTTCTTGAATCTTGTCTAGGGTTTCAGTAGAGATTCATTTCTTATTATGATGCTTCTTGAGGCCCAGCACCTGTCATTTTGTAGTTAGTGCTGCTTTGATATTTTTCTAATTATCCTCCATCGTAGTTCCTTCTTCTTTCAATAGATCCTGTAAGGCTTGGAACCTGTTTTTGAGTTATCTTGAATTGGTTGAGCTTGTTAATATCTCGTAGGAAGGCTGTATTGAACCTTTGTAGTGCTGTTTGTCCAGTTGTCCAGTTCTTTTTAGCTTCAGAAGCTGTGTCAGCCCCTCTCCTGGTTCTCATGTCTTCCATTGTCCTTCGGAATTTTTTATTGATACAAATATGATCTATCTGGCTCTCTGTGGTGTGATCCGGTGAGACCCACGTAACTTTGTGTATGCGTTTATGTGGGAATATTGTGCCGCCTATGACCAATTTGTTGAATGCACACAGATTTGCAAATCTTTCCCCATTTTCGTTTCTCTCTCCCAGTCCATGTCGTCCCATGATATCTTCATATCCGGTGTTATCTATTCCGACTTTGGCGTGTAGGTCTCTCATCAAGATGATGAGATACTTTCTTGGGCATTTCGCTATGATTGATTGCAGCCTCTCATAGAACTGATCTTTATGGTCGTCGTTGCTTTTATTGGTGGGTACATAACACTGGGTAACATTAATCGTGATTCCCTCCTTTTTTTGAATGATGCTTTGATGATTCTGGATCCGTGAGATTCCCATCCTACAATTGCATTTCGTGCTTCTTTGGACACATTAGAGCAACTCCCTGAGTGTGTGGGGCATTTTCCTCTTCATGACTGGGGTATAGCAGCATCCCTCCCGTATCTAGCCTCTGTTGTCCAGTTTGAGTCCAATGGGTTTCGCTGATTCCCAGTACTACCAAGTTGTATCTCCTCATTTCTGTTGCTATTTGACTGGTCTTCCTGGTCTCCCACATTGTCCTGATGTTCGATGTGCCTATGTCAATTGTTGCTCTGGTTGTTAGAAGGGGCATCGCCCTCGTGAATTCGGAGGAATCTCGACTTTCATCATGAGGCGTCATAATTCTTCCTTGAACTCCCATGGCAGAGTTTCAATTGTTTAACTTTTTTATTATGGTTGGCGTGTTTTTTTATCGAGTTAGTTTTCTGCGGGATGGGGTTGGTGAATCCATGCTCAACCCTCCTCCTGTACTCGGGCTTGAGACCGTCAATAACTCTAGAAGAGCTACAGGTGGAGTTCTGTATTCTATAATCTAAATTTTTGAAGTAAAATATACTTTCGTTGTATTTCTGTTAAGTTAGTTACATGAATTAAAGATACTCTTACAATCTTTTTTATGACTAAATGTACGTACAATAATGGGGAAAAGGTGAAATTGTAATGATGATAAATTATCGACGTGATTAGGAATAGAATAATAAGGCTTTCTGTTTTCATGAAAGATAGGTGAATACCATCGATCTTAGTCCTTTTTCTAGCAATAACATGATTTTGCAGAAATCATTACCAGTAAGCTTACATTGTCGACACACCGAACAACTGGTCACCTATGTCATGTTTTAGTGTAATAACTTTCTTCAGTCTTCATTATTAGAAGACATGTAATATCACGGCAACTTGAGACTAATTAATTATTATACACATTTTCAGGTTTCGTATTATGTATAAGATGTTTTTCATTTACGACTTAAATACTATTAACATAGATTTCAAAATGATTTCGATCTCAATTGTTTATAATTACAATGTTAATAAATCTGTTTCTAGTCTTGAAGTTTCATGTCTGAAGTAATTACATCTCCCAGTACCGAAATCACGATATTAAAAAGACATTTAAAAGTCTTTGTTAAGAATATAATTTGTGACTGTACATGGAATAGTTCTTCATTGTACATTTTTAATAACACTTCTAGTATATTTATACAGTGACTCATTAATGGAATATTTATGTTCGAAATATCTGAGCAAATATTAGTAAATAAATAAACGAACTAAAACTATATAAGTCAAGATGAAGAACAGTAAAATAAATAGTGCGATGAAAAGTAAGGTTAATAGTTGGTTTTAAAGAATTAGCAAAACAGGTAGACAAAAGCATTTCTTAAAGTTTATATATATAATGTATATTATTAATTTACTTCATAGTGACCTCATTCTCTACATATTTACTTTCTGTAGTTACAGAAGACTTAGCTGTTTCCTCACTAATGAATGCTGAAAGCAGTGGGAGAACTTCAATTCTTTTGAGTGATATTGTACTTGGGTTAATAGATTTGGGATTTGATGTCTCAGGTCTTAATGAAATCCCCCGTAAACGCATGTACAGAGGATGTAAAGAACGTATGTTGACAATTTTTTTCACCTACTTGTAAAGTCAGTTCCCGTAGCTTTGAAGTTTATCACTTTGAATAGCCTTGTTTTTCAGATTATTTATTTATTTATTTGGACACATGAATATTGGTACAGGGGAGCGCCAATATATATGCGCCACACTGTTTTTCAGATACTTATGGAGGACATCATTTGTCGTTAGTTGTCTGTAGTCTAAAATCACTAGTGAGTATCAAAAGCAGTTTACTGTTAAACTTATATTTGTAAGCATAGTATGCATTGATATCGAAAATGTAGTACATAAACGTGGTATTTTACTGTTGACTGGAAATATCTAAAGTATATATCTGGGGAGTAGCCCCCTAAGATAACCACCTGCTTCGGTTTGGGCACCCGGGCAGTATCACAGCCCACACACAAATGATGAACTCTCTATGTCTATGGAAACTACTTTTCTCGCTTCGAAAAACAATCAATTGATTCAAATTATTGTCATTACTATTATTGTCATTATTAATACTATTATTATCATTAGTACTATTATTATTATCATTATTATTATTATTATTTTCCACATTATTCACCCTCTTTTATACTTATACAGCGGCTCGTCTTTGGTGGAAATTCAACTGTATCTAAACGTTCTCAAGTCACTGTCCGGTTGAAAATTGTATGTTACCACCGAATATGAGTACTGAAGCATTTTTTCTGAAACCACGTGAGCCATTCAAACTGGCTGCCTTCAACGTTCGCACACTTATGCAGGTTGGACAACAGATAGGGCTGGCTATGTCTTTGGAAAATCTTCATATCGATGTCTGCTGTCTATCCGAGACCCGTATTCAAGACTCTGATGAAGTACTACAAATTCGCTCTACATCTGTCACTTCAAAAAGCTTGTTTTACGTGCGCGTATCCGGGACCCTGTGGCATCTTCGTCTGGTCTTTCTGGCGTTGGTGTCGCACTGAGCGCCAGAGCTGAGGCAGCACTAATCGATTGGATCCCCATTAACAGTCGGTTATATGCCGTTAGATTAGAAAGTTCCATGAAAGTGAGAAGAAATCGGCGTGAGAAACGATGTTTTTTCGCCATCTCCGACTATGCCCCGACAGATTACAGCCCGCATGCAATCAAGGATGAGTTTTACCACCAGTTATCTGTTCTTCTCCAGAAAGTGCGTTCGACAGATATTGTAGTACTGGCCGGAGACTTGAATGCTCAGGTCGGGCGTCTAGGCACAGAAGATAGGCGTTTAGGTGGCCGATGGGGACTCGTTGGTCGCAGGTCAGATAACGGGGACCGTCTACTGCAACTTTGCACAGACCACAACCTGTTTCTGGCTAGCACTAACTTTCGGCACAGTCATCGCCGATGTGCCACCTGGCGTCCTCCCTCTGCATCTCAAGCCTGGACTCAGATTGATCACATCGTGGTCAGCTTCCGCTGGCGTGGTTGTGTACGAGACTACCGCTCCTTTTGGAGTACCTATCTGGACTCTGATCATGTCTTGGTCTGCGCCAATCTCACCTTACTTTTCAGTGGACAACGAAGTGACCGTCACCAAAGGATTGATGTCAGCAAGTTGGTTGTAACTCCTGTTGCAAGTAAGTATCGAACCGAGCTAGCTTCTAGGCTAGCTATCATTCCACCGAAAAGTATAGATGAGCATTGGTTGCAATTGCAAGACGCCATGAAAATGGCGAGTAAAGTCACTTGTGGGTTGGCGAAACGTCCCGCTTATAAGCACTGGGTTTCTGCAGGTTCCTTGCAACTCATTGAAGCCCGTCGGTCTACTCCGGGTGACCGTGAGTTTGACCATAACCGAAGGATGTTACGTAATGAAATTGGGCAAAGCTTGCGTAAGGACCGAGAAGCCTGGTGGTCGAAGCGTGCTAATGTGCTGGAAGCAGCAGCTGCATCTGGTAACTACCGGAAGCTCTTCCAACTCATCCGAGCCACTGGCAGCAAGAAGTCTGGTGTGAGCGAAACAATCTGCGAGGATGACGGGATGCCAATCACTAACATCCATCGACGTCTTGGACGATGGGCAGAATTCTTCGAAGGGCAGTTCAACTGGCCTGTTGCTCTGGCAACTTCGGTCAGACTGTCCTGCCCTCCATGGCCGGTGATGACTGATCCACCAAATAAGGCGGAAATCCGCAAGAACGTCCGACTCTTGAAGCGCTACAAATCACTAGGCCGAGATGACTTACCTCCGGCCCTTTTTAAAAATGGTGGTGACTTTCTGACTAATGAACTGACTGTGTTGTTTACAAAGTTCTGGGGACTAGAGAGTGTTCCAACGTCCTGGAACGAGTCGATAGCTATCCCTATCTTTTAAATGGGTTCACGTCCTTACTGTAACAACTATCGGGGGATAAGTCTACTTCCGATTCCGTCCAAACTATTGGCTTCCGTCATACTTCGTAGGTTGTTCAAAACCCGAGAAAGATTGACTCGCGAGGAGCAGTCTGGTTTTCGTTCTGGTCGACGATGTATTGATCATATCTTCACCCTCCGTCAAATGTTAGAACACCGTCATACTTATCACAGGCCAACAATCGTAGTGTTTCTTGACATTAGGGCTGCCTTCGATTCGTTGGACAGGACTGTTCTCTGGGGTTGTCTATTGAATAAGGGTGTGCCTGGGAAGTTTATTAACATCCTGAAGGCCCTATATACAAACACCTCAGGCAGAGTGAGGGCATACAACCACCTCTCTCCATTGTTGCATTCGAAAAGTGGGGTTAGGCAGGGTTGCCCAATCTCATCACTCCTCTTCAACTTGGCCATCGACGACATTCTGGAAACAGCTCTGATGGATGTAAGCAATAGAGGTGTGGATCTGTTGCCTGGAGAAAGACTTCTCGACCTTGAGTATTCGCATGATATTGTCTTACTGTGCGATAATGCCCAAGGCATGCAATCCGCACTTAATCAGTTGGCAATCAGTGTCCGTAGGTATTGTATGTGCTTTGCACCTTCGAAGTGCAAAGTACTTCTACAAGACTGGCAGGATTCCAATCCTGTACTCACCCTGGATGGTGAGCAGATAGACGTAGTCGAGAAGTTCGTGTATCTGGGTAGCTGCATAAGTGCTGGTGGGGGTGTGAGTGATGAGATCAATGCACGAGTAGTGAAAGCCAGAGCGGCTTATGCCAATCTGGGCCATCTTTGGCGCATTCGTCATGTCAGTCTGGCTGTAAAGGGTCGGATCTACAACGCATCGGTGAGAGCAGTTTTGCTCTATGCTTGTGAAACCTGGTCTCTCCGAGTTGAGGACGTTAGACGACTCTCTGTGTTCGATCATCGCTGTCTCCGAAGGATTGCTGAAATTCAGTGGCAACACCATGTCAGTAATGCAGAGGCTCGGCATCGTGTGTTCGGGCACAGAGATGATAATGCAATTGGTGTTACCATCTTGAAACACCGACTTGGGTGGCTTGGACATGTTCTCCGAATGTCTTCCCAGAGAATTCCACGTCGTGCATTATTTGCCGACTCTGGGACTGGTTGGAAGAAGCGGAGAGGTGGTCAGTGCATGACATGGTGTCGTGGCATGAAAGAAAGCTGCAAAGGACTGGCTTGTGTTGGTCCTTCACGACTCCCTGGTTGGGGTCTGAGAGATGGTGCTACACAGTGGCTAGAGACGTTATCAGATATGGCTCAGAATAGAAGCCAATGGCGATCCTGCTGTAACCTTCTTTTACTTTCTTCATAAAAAGTGGTTGTGTCTCCCTTACCTGAAAGATTTCTTCCGATTGTACCTTTGGGTTCCCTGATTACTACCACACTACCTTACACCATTCTCTTCGTTATTGTTCTTTTTTCTGCGCTCCTTAGCTTTTTTCTATTTCTTTTCGAATTCTCATTGTTTTGTGTGGCGCATATATATTGGCGCTCTCTTGTACCAATATTCATATGTTCAAATAAATAAATAAATAAATAAATAAATAAATAAATAAATAAATAAATAAATAAATAAATAAATAAATAAATAAAAATAAATAAATAAATAACTAAATAAATAAAAATAAATAAATAAATAACTAAATAAATAAAAATAAATAAATAAAAATAAATAAATAAATAAGTAAATAAATAAATAAATAAATAAATAAATAAATAAATAAATAAATAAATAAATCTGATGTAATTCTGGTTGAATGCAGTATCATAATTAATTATTGACAATTGTCCTTGTAAAGTCTAACGAGACTACCTGACTTCTTAAATTGAAGTAAGCGTGGAGGGATTCAAGTGTTTTAATTGCTAATCCATTCACTATATATTTTGGTCAAGTTGTACATTTATCTCTCTTTTTGGGACGAGTAGTTTTATAACTATTAAGAAGTTAGTGGAATATCTGATTCCTCTCTTACGAAACGTAAAAAAATAAGAATATATGTTTTGTTGTAGAAAAACTTAATGCAAAATTATTAGTTCTTCTCTATGATATTTTTATTACTGTTATATAACCTGAAGTGTCTTTTGCGCTTAGCGGAATATTTTAAAGCTAAAGACTATTCATATACAAACTTTTTCTGTCTAATCATTCAAATTCGTAATAGATTGACATGTTCAGACAGTTCTCAAAAACATTTGGAGGATAAAACAGTCTCATCGGTGAAAAAATTATGTACAAAATATTAATTATTTCATAAAATAGTCAAGAAATGGTGGTTCATATAACATCAAATATTAAGTTGAAATATCACTACCATGAGATGATGGAGATTTGTAGCTCAGGTGGATGACTTTAGTGGAGTTTTGTTCTCTAAACTGGATGGTTTGGTCGTGGAGCTTTTATCGTTATTCTGAACGACATCATCAGCATAAGCTTCAGGTAGAAGTGAAGTGTTCGGATTTCTCCACACACAAATCACAGTTTGTCCTGTAGACCTCGATCTTGATCGGTTATTGTTGAGCTTTAACCTGTCATTTTTTACCTCGTTATTTTGGTTGTATCTCCCATTGATTCGATTCTTGGTCCTATATTTGCCCATAA